CGAAGCAGCTCCACCCAGTCGGGGAGCTCAACCGCGTCGCCGAACTCCGTACGCCAGGCGACGCTCAGACGGGCGAAGCAGCGGGACTCTGCGTGACCAAGCGTCCCGCAAGGCTGACCAGTCGGAGCACCAGTGCGAATGACGTACGGACAGCGAGCAGTACCCCGTGACCCGTCACGCTGAGCGTACCACTCACGAAGCTGCTGGGGCGAAAGAACCGCGCGCGGACGACGCTGAAGCTGCACTTGGCCACTACAAGCAGCTGCTGAACTATTTACTCCAGGACGACTCCCACTACGGCCACCCCGACAACCCCAACTAGCGTACCACTCACGAAGTTGTTGGGGGGTGAGGGACTCACGCGGGCGACGCTGCAGCTGCACTTGGCCACTACAAGCTGCTGTGGAACTACTCACTCTAGGACGACTCCCACTACGGCCACCCCGACAACCCCAACTAGCGTACCACTCACGAAGCTGTTGGGGGGTGAGGGACTCACGCGGGCGACGCTGCAGCTGCACCTGGCCACTACAAGCAGCTGTGGAACTACTCACTCCAGGACGACTCCCACTACGGCCACCCCGACAACCCCAACTAGCGTACCACTCACGAAGCTGTTGGGGGGTGAGGGACTCACACGGGCGACGCTGGAGCTGCATCTGGCCACGCCAGGAGCAGCAGTAGCAGTAGAAAGAGCAGTAGCAGCAAGAGCAGCAGTAACAGCAGTACGGGCAGGGCAGTGCTCACCAGTGGCGAGAAGGGCAGGCGTACGACGGCGGCAACGGCGAGGCCGCTACCACTGTAGGGCGAGAGCTCCGCGGCAGCTGCAGGGGTGGCTGCTCTAGGGGCGGCAGTTGTAGGGGCGGCTGCTTCAGGGGCGGCTGCTGCAGGGGTGGCTGCTCCAGGGGCGGCTGCTGCACGGGCGGCTGCTGTAGTGGCGGCTGCTCCAGGGGCGGCTGCTGCAGTGGCGGCTGCTCCAGGGGCGGCTTGGCTGCTGGGCGACTCGGCTGCTGGGCGGCTCGGCGGCTCGGCTGCTGGGCGGCTCGGCGGCTCGGCTGCTCGCTAGGGGCGGCGACGGGGCCGGGTAGGGGCGGCGACGGGGCCGGTAGGGGCGGCGACTAGGCTGCGTAGGGAGGGGAGCCGCGACGGGGCCACTAGGGGCGGCGACGGGGCCGCGTAGGGGCGGCGACGAGGCCGCGTAGGGGCGGCGACGGGGCCGCGTAGGGAGGGAGGCGGCGACGGGGCCGCTAGGGGCGGCGACGGGGCGGCGACAGGGCCCCGTAGGGAGGGAGGAGGCGACGGGGCCGCTAGGGGCGGCGACAGGGCCGCGTAGGGGCGGCGACGGGGCCGCTAGGGGCGGCGACGGGGCCGCGTAGGAGCGGCGACGGGGCCGCGTAGGGAGGGGAGCGGCGACGGGGCCGCTAGGGGCGGCGACGGAGCCGCGTAGGGGCGGCGACGGGGCCGCGTAGGGGCGGCGATGGGGCCGCTAGGGGCAGCGACGGGGCCGCTAGGGGCGGCGACGGGGCCGCGTAGGGGCGGCGATGGGGCCGCGTAGGGAGGGGAGCGGCGACGGGGCCGCTAGGGACGGCGACGGGGCCGCGTAGGGGCGGCGACGGGGCCGCGTAGGGAGGGAGGCGGCGACGGGGCCGCTAGGGGCGGCGACGGGGCCGAGTAGGGGCGGCGACGGGGCCGCTAGGGGCGGCGACGGGGCCGTGTAGGGGCGGCGACGAGGCCGCGTAGGGAGAGAGGCGGCGACGGGGCCGCTAGGGGCGGCGACGGGGCCGCTAGGGGCGGCGACGGGGCCGCGTAGGGGCGGCGACGGGGCCGCGTAGGGAGGGGAGCGGCGACGGGGCCGCTAGGGGCAGCGACGGGGCCGCGTCGGGGCGGCGACGGGGCCGCGTAGGGGCGGCGTCGGGGCCGCGTAGGGAGGGGAGCGGCGACGGGGCCGCTAGAGGTGGCGCGAGGGGCCGTGAGAGGGGCCTCTAAGAGAGCTCGACAGAAGGGCGGCCCACAAGGCGCGCCTCGGGCAGGAGTGACTGGCGCTCCGGTCAGAAAAAAAAGTTTCAGTGGTGGGCCCCAGGAAGCGTTCCCACTAGGGAACCTGCTCTATACCATGTTAGAAATGAGGAATGAATGAACTAGCACAAGGTTGGGTACAAGTAGGAAACCCTAGGAAACTGTACCCCATAGTGTTTACCCCACTATAGCCTAGACAAGCTATATGATATGAGTTTGACATGTTGTCTCGTGCTTGCAGGACCACGATGCCTTGCGCATTGGCGCACAGCTGCTCGTTGTTGGCGGCGGTGACGTAGGTTGCGGGGTCGCGGCTCAGATTCAAGACGTATCGCGTGGATCCCACCATGTGCTGTCAGCAGCAGCTGTCCAGGTACCAGGTGTTGTAGTTGTCAGTGTTGTTTCTGCGCAGAAGTAGCGCCAGTCGCGGAGTCACCAGGGTTGCTTTGTAGCGCCTGTGGAAGGGGGGGTCTTCGTCTTCCTTCCATCCCACTGGTACGTATTGTTGTTTGTCGTGTGGCGGGCTTTCCCGCAGCGTGATTGGCTGATTCCAATCCTGCTCGTCCTCGTCATATAGGTAATAGTGATCTTCAGTGAGGGGATTGTTCCATCCCTCTTCTGGTTCCAGAAGTCTTCCTTGAACTTCGTTCTCTTCGTCAGGTTCAGCAGTGCGGCGTCGGCGCGTCGCCATGTTCGCGATGATGTTCCTGGGAGCTCCTGATTGAGGTCCTTGAGTTTGCTGGTGTTGATGCTGTGCAAGAGGACGAACTGTGTGATGCTGAGGCTGAGAGTGACGAGTGTCTTGTCGGCCGACCCAGTTGTTGTGGTGAGTGGAATTTGGGTGGCGGAAGTTGGATCGGGATTTGCATCGATCCGTTGAGTGTCCGAAGACTTTGCATATTTTGCAATAATGGCGCCTTGGTTGTCGTCGCTCTTCTCGGTTGTCTGCGTAGAAGGCGAGGCGCTCTCGGCGCGGCGCGGAGCTTGTTCTGCTCGAATCCATGTCCTGCTGTTCGGACAGGAGTGCGGCGCATAGCGCGGCTTCTGAGATGATTCCTCGCTGTCGGAGTAGGGCTTTACAGGGCTTCCACTCTTGCCCGAGTCCTTGAAGGACTATGTTGACGAAAATCTCTTCTGAGATTGTACTCCCATGCTTCGTGATCTGGTCACGGATGTTGCGACATCGGTTAATATACGGATTCGCTTTCTCCCCGTGCCCCATTTTTATCTCCAAAAGTTGCTGCAGAAGCCTGCTGGCGGTGACCGAATCTTTCGGCTGGTAAACTTCAATGAGGTGCTTCCAAGCTTCCAAGGCTGGAGCGTCGCTCTCTTTGTAGGAGCGAATGTTGAGTTGTTCCGCAGGCGTCATGTTGCGTAGCAACACACTGTAGGCCATGAGGGACTCGCTGTAGTACTGAGCCCTGGCGACTTCGGTGTTTTCCACCGGTTTAGGGTAGGAGCTGTCGAAGTAATGGTAGATCTGCGCCGTTTGTAGGAGGAGCTCAAGCTCGAAACTCCATGTGTAGAAGTCCTTGCCGTCAAATGCGGCAGTTGTTTTGATTTTTGAAACGCTAAGGAAGCGTGTTTGCGCAGAGTTGATAGCTTCATCATTTGGATGGGGGGCAGTTGTTGTTGATTTGTCTGTGTCGCGGGAGAAGGTATGCGCGGCGGTATCACGGTTTTTCTTTGCCGGTTGTCCAGGTTGTGCTGGTTGGGAAGAGGTTCCCGCATCGCCTTTGCGCAGGTCTTGAATTTCTTTCTCCATAGTTGAAAGTCGAGCGAAAAGTTGCTCGAGAGCGGCAGTGCCGATCGTGGTTGTCGCCTCATTTGTCGCAGCCGGGCTGGTTTGTCCTGTCAGAAGTCCACTGGTGATCCCCGATTGATCCTAGGGAAGGGTTACAGGCACGTCGGCCTGGGGGGTTATGGGCGCACTCACCCGCTATACAAACAAGCCCTTTTATCCCAGTGGTCTAGTGGTTGGGATTCTGACATGGTATCAGAGCAAAGGTCTCGGGTCCGAATCCCGGTGTGTGCACTTTGGGCATCCCAGTGCGGGGGGGTGTCAGAAGTCCACTGGTGATCCCCGATTGATCCTAGGGAAGGGTTACAGGCACGTCGGCCTGGAGGGTTATGGGCGCACTCACCCGCTATACAAACAAGCCCTTTTATCCCAATGGTCTAGTGGTTGGGATTCTGACATGTCCTTCAGCCGTCGGATTTGCTTGGCCTCCGGATCCCCCGGCCATCTTGGTCTTGGAGCGTGTGCCACTCGTCAGATCTAAGTTCGGCGAATTTCACGGAAGTGAAGTTGCGAAGAATCCATGAGTAGCTCTCATACCATGTTACAATCCCAAGTGGGACTTAGCGAAGGATCGCTCCGGGTTGATCGCAGAGTATGTTGCAGCGGAAGTTTGAATCTCAGGTCACAGTGAATGTAAATGACTGAGTTGATAGAAGCATGCATACCGTACATCGGGTTTATATAAGAATACAGGGGAATACGAAAAGACCTAGGCTAGCCATGTACTCTAAGGGGTACATTCCCTTATTACAGCAGTTTCAAACCGTGCGGCGCGGGAACCCGTTTTGAACATGTTCCCGCTCTTTTCACTTCAAATGTTTCTGCCTGCATCGGTCTTGGTCAGGCGGTTGCTGCGTCGCTTCGACTCTTCGGACTCCTCGACTTCGTACTCGGTAGAGTCGGCTCCTGCAGCATACAGGAATGCCTTCTCATAAAACTTCATATCGTAACATACAGTAAGGAATACAATTCCTTACAGATTCGATATTGACTTTAGCGCACTCTTTCATTCACAGCTCATAACACTTTTTAAAACTTGTAACACTTTCCAAGTTACGAGCTACTCAGGATTCCAACCAAACCCTTCTCGTGCTCACCCGTCATCCCACCATCACATCACATCATTCTTGCCACTGTTCGCTACTCCTTACCTCAGTTCTTTTTGGGCTCTCACTGTGTTGTAATGGCGTCGGGAACTTCCCCACCACCCGATGCGGAGCGGCGAGCGGGGTCGTCGGATCGGAAGCGCGATCGGGATCGGTCTCGAGAGAGGAGCTCGTCGCGCCCCAGGGACGACCGAGGCGGCCGAGGCGACGACCGCGACCGTCGCCGCAGCGATTCGCACGACCGTCGCCACGAGGAGCGCGGCAGGGATCGCGATCGGGACAGAGACAGAGAGAGGGACAGAGATAGGGAGAGGGACAGGGATAGAGATAGAGACCGGGAGAGGGAAAGGGATCGGGAGCGCGAGAGGGAGCGCGAGCGCGACTACAAGAGGCGGCGGAGCGCGAGTCCGCGGCGGCCCTCGCCGCGATACGGCTCCCCGGGGAAAAGGTTAGTCTCCCTGCCCCCGTCGTGCAATTGTGTGATTCTTTTTTTTGGTTTCCCTTTTCAAGCTGAGAGAACCGCTAGTCGCACCGCCGCCGCAGCGCTCTGACCCGCGCTGCGTCTTGCTTCGCCAGCTGCTCATTGCCATCCGGTTTTTTAAATCGCTTAGCTTCTGAATCGTCGCGCGCGGAGGAGGTCGGTGTGTGAAGAGGGGGTCATCGGAAGCGCCTCGCGCGCTTCTCCCGCTTCTTGCAGGGTTCCGCTGCGAGACGCTCCGCGTGCCGGCCGGCGCAGGAGCATGATTCCCCTCTACGAAGCTCCGCGCTATGTCTGATTTCGCGTAACTCGTTCTTCCTCCAGTCTTCGTAGTTCTCAGTCCATGGAGCATTCGCCCTCTTCCAGATACGCTTCTCGCCTCTCGCCCCTCAATTTCACGTCGCCTCTCAGCCGATTAAATCTCTTCCGTCTGGCACCGCGCCTGTAAAGTTTCTTGCTGTTAATTACGAGTAGCGTAGACAGAGCATCGTAGTGTAAGCGCGCCCATCAAGTCTCGTGCTGTAGGAGTAGGAGTAGCGAGCAGAGTAGAAGTAGCGCACTGCCCTGTGCTACTAGTGGCACCCTTCGCACCGAGCGAGTGTGGCAACGCGGCGCTGCTGGTGGTGGTGCCGGTGGCGGCGACTCGTCTGCTGGAGGCAAGTCGATTCCTCTGAGGCATTCCCATTGCCCTCCTCCCTTGCATCTTCTCCGCTCTCCCCTCACTTCCTCGCATGTCCCCTCACTGCCGCGCATTTTCTTCAATTCCACGCGTCTCCCTTCACTTCCGCGCGCGCATCGCGCATCTCCTTTCACTTCCGCGCATCTCCCCTCACTGCCGCGCATCTCCCCTCACTGCCGCGCATCTCCCCTCACTGCCGCGCATCTCCCCTCACTGCCGCGCATCTCCCCGCGCTGCTGCGCATGTGTGGACTGGAAACACATGCGCGTCCCCTTTCACGCGTGTCCTGCGCCACGCTCATCTGCTTCTGCCTGCAATCATCGTCGCCGCCTTCAGTCGCTCGCGTCCTCCCGTGCTCACCCTTTTCGCCGCCTCTTCTCTCGCTTCGTCTCCCGCCCTGCCCGCGCCACCGCAGGCACCCCTACGATGCGCCGCGCGCCATGCCGCCGTTCGCCCCCGACGATCCCTATGCTCGCCTGCCCGGCCCTCCGGGGCCACCGCCGGGTACGTAGTCATACGGGAATGGAGGTACGGGAGTGGAGGTACGGGAGTGAAGGTACGGGAGTGGAGGTACGGGAGTGGAGGTACGGGAGTGGAGGTACGGGAGTGGAGGTACGGGAGTGGAGGTACGGGAGTGGAGGTACGGGAGTGGAGGTACGGGAGTGGAGGTACGGGAGTGGAGGTATGGGAGTGGAGGTACGGGAGTGGAGGTACGGGAGTGGAGGTACGGGAGTGGAGGTACGGGAATGGAGGTACGGGAGTGGAGGTACGGGAGTGGAGGTACGGGAGTGGAGGTACGGGAATGGAGGTACGGGAGTGGAGATACGGGAGTGGAAGTTCGGCATTGGAGGTGTGGCATTGGGGTTATTGAATTGGAGGTATGTTCCACCCGCCCGCCCCACCACCCGCCCCATCCCCTGCCATACCCCCTGCCTGGAACTCCGTCGCCCCCCGTTCCCCGCTCACTTGCCCCCCTCCCGTCCCCTCGTCGCCCCTCTGCTCGCCACTGCCCCACCAGGCGCGGATCGCTACAGGCGGCCGTCAGCCTATGACATGCTGCCAGGTGGCGGCGGTCCCCCGCCTCCGCCTATGTACCCGCCGCACTACCCGCCCGGCGACGGGCCTCCCCGCAGGTGACGTGGTGGCGTGGTGAGGTGAAGGGCGAGGGGTTGGTTAGGTGGGTGGATGGGTGGTGGTTGTAGGTGGAGGGGTGGAGTGAAGGGGTGGATGTGTGGCGATGGAGTGGCTGTGGGTGTGGGTGTAAGTGCACCCCACGCTGTCCTGGCAGGCATAGCTGCCTTGGTTCATCCGCACATGGCGGCAACGTCCCATCACTGCCCTCCATGCTCCGCACTCGCCATCAGTGCATCACCACCCACTCCCCGTTGCGTCGCTGCTCCCTGCTCTGCTCTGCCCTCCCCTCCCGTTGCCCCGTGCTCTCACGGCCACCTCTCCCCACTCATCGCCATGCCCCTGTGTGCCCCCATGTGCTCCTTGTGTGCCCCCTGTGTGCCCCCTGTATGCCCCTCGCGTGCCCCCGTGTGTCCCCTCGTGTGACAGCAGGCCACCGCCAGCTGACGGGCCGCTGACCTACAAGCAGTTCATTGCTGACCTGGATGATGACGTGTCACCTGCTGACGCCGAGAAGAGGTGCGCACATTGGCTCTTCCTTTTTCATTGCTTCTCTGCCCTGCCCTCTGCCGCTGCTGCCGCCGGTTGGCCTCTCGTGCTGCACTGCTCAGGTCGTATCTCCAGCAAGTGTCAAGAAGGGCTTGGTGTCAAGCGTTGTTAACGCTGGACACCAAGTGGAGCCGCGTGTGAGCGCGGCTCCAGCCTGGTGTCAATGTTGGGCACATTGAACGAATTCCCGCGATCACATTGGTTGGTTTAGCTGACACCAGGAGGGATAGTCCTCCATGTGTTTTCCGAGTTGGTGTCATGACACTAGCCCTTCTTGACACTTGCTGGAGATACGACCTCATTCGTCTCTCCCTGTTCCACCTCTCCCGCGTCCCCTCGTCACCCTCTCCGTCTCCCCCGCCCCCAGGTATCTGGACTACAAGACAAAGTTCGTCGCGGCACAGAAAAAGGCCTTCTTTCACGACCACAGGAACGACGAGTGGTCAGTCCTCACCGCAGCTCACCGCACCTCACCTCACCTCATCTCTCTTGAGCGTAACGCTCGTTTTTGCCTCTTTGATGGGCTCAAACAACACATTACTTTGTGGTACCGGGTTTTTTGTTGGGGGGAAGGGGTGGGGTGGGGGGTGGTTGTGGCGGCGGGGGCAATGAGGAAAGGATGGGAAGGAGTGGGAAATAGCTGGGAAAGTGGGAAATTCGTTCGAACGGGGGATGAGATGGCATGACGGCTATGGCTGGGTTGGGAAGGTGGGGAAGTCTTATCACAACCCCTGACTTACCCCTGCCTTCCACCACCCCACTCCCCCCCTCCCCCTTCCCTGTGTGTGGCGCTGCGTGCTCGCTGGCCAGGCTACGAGCGCTCTACGACCCGGCTCGCCTTGAGAGCCTGGTGGACAGGTGAGCTCACTGCGCTGCCTCGTCAGGCCTGCTCGCTCTTGCCACGCATCATGCAGCACTGCAGCAGCGCTGTAGCAGCGTTGTTCTATCCTTTCAATTCGCCTATGAGCCCTGCCCATTGCCAGCGCTCTCTCGTTCTGCCCACTGCCTCCGTTTCCCCTTCCCCCCGCCCCTTTCCCCGCTCCTCTTTCACGTGTGGTGCATGTGTGTGTGTGTGTGCATGTGTGGTGTGCACGTGTGGTGTGCACGTGTGTGTGTGTGCGCGCGTGTGTGTGCATACGTGTGTGCATGTGTGCATGTGCATGCATGTGTGCTGTGCATGTGTGCATGTGTGCTGTGCATGTGTGCATGGGTGCGGTGCCTCCCATCAGGCGCATTGAGTTTGCGCAGCTGGAGAGCAAGCAGTTGCTTGAAAGCCTGCAGCGCGGTGATGCCGACCTGTCAGTGCCGCATCCCCTCACTCACTGCCTCATCACTTCTCTCCTCTCTCCCTCGCACACCTTTTCACGCCCTCTTGCTCTCCCTCTTTCCCTGCTCCTCATGCCTTTCCTTCTCGTTGCACTCCTCCCTCCCGCCCGCCCTCAATGCGCCACTTCCTTCTCGCCTCGTTTCTCCCGTCTCATGCCGTCACCTCACCCCACCCCATGCCCTGCCTTCCCTCTCCACCCCATGCCCTGCCTTCCCTCTCCACCCCTCACCTTCTCCATCCCCGCCTCCAAACCACTCCTCTCCGCCACCCACCAGCGGCCCCTATGCGGATCCACGTGACCCGCTAGCAGCCACGGACGCGCGGCGCCGCAGCGCCTCCTTCCGCCCGTCGCTGGCGCACGACGCTGCCACGGCCACCGCCTCTGCGCCACGCATCCCGGCGGGGGCGGGGCAGGCGGCGCGCGTGGCACACGACCTGGAGAGGGCGCGGGCGCTGGTGGGCAAGCTGGACGCGGAGAAGGGGCTGTGGGGCGCGCAGGGGGGCGCGGAGGGGGGCAACTTCCTGGTGGGGGAGAACCAGGCGGGCGCGGAGGACGAGGTGGTGAAGATCCGCGTGCCCGCAGGGGAGGGCGGGGGGGAGGCGCGGTGGCTGGCGGGCGTGGCGCTGCTGGACGCGGTACTGACGTACCTGTGGCGCGTGCACGGGGCCGACTACTACGGCGGCACGGAGCTGCGCGGGCTGCCCAAGGGGCTGAGGCACGTGCGCGCGGATGAGGGCGGGGAGGGCAAGGGGGAGGGCGCAGGGGGAGGGGAAGCTGGGGAGGGGTTCGAAGCTTGGGCGCGGCGGGTGGATGAGAAGTGGAGGGTGCGCGTGGGGGCGGAGGGCGAGGACCCGGTGGTGGCGCTGGTGGGCAAGGCGCGTGTGGAGGCGCGCATGGGGGGCGCGATGGAGGGCATGGTTCGGAAGATCAAGGACGACAAGTACGGGTGGAAGTACGGCTGCTCCGCGCCCGGGTGCTCGAAGCTGTTCCACGGGCCTGAGTTCGTGATCAAGCACCTCAAGCTCAAGCACCCCGAGCAGGTGGCGGAGCAGACGAACCGAGTCAAGGAGGAGGTGTATGAGGAGAACTACATGCGGTGAGGGCGGGGGTGGCGGGGGGGTGGCGGTGAGAGGGGGGGAGGTTGGGGTGGCGGTGAGGGGATGGTGGGTTGAAAGGTGGTGCAGGATGGGAGTGTGTGGGATGTGTGAGTGTCATTTGAGGGTGGCTCACTGAATGACATGTGAGTGCACTGGGAGAGGAGCGTGTGACTGTCTTGCCTCGCCATACAGCCTGCTGCTGCCCATTCCCCTCCACTTGGCCTCACATCATTCCCTCCACTTGGCCTCACATCATTCCCTCCACTTGGCCTCACATCATTCCCTCCACTTGGCCTCACATCATTCCCTCCACTTGGCCTCACATCATTCCCTCCACTTGGCCTCACATCATTCCCTCTCCTCCATCCCGTCCGTCCTCCCCTCACTCCCACCATGCAGCGACCCCAACGCCCCTGTCAGGGGAAGGGAGGACAGGGAGAGAGACAGAGAGAGGGAGAGGGAGCGGGAGAGGGGAGGGCACGGGCACTCGCCGGTGCCCATGTCGGCCCGTCTGGGTGCGCGACTGCCCCCCCCGCCCGACCCCTTTGCTTTCCCCCCCGACCGCTTCGACCGCCCCCCGCCCTTTGACCGCCCTGCTGGCGGCCCCCCTCCCCCCATGGGCGCTCTCCCCCCTGACGCTGGGGAGCCCTTTCCAGGGGAGCGGGGCGGGCGGTACGAGGGGGATGTGTTTGACCGTCGCGGGGGCAGGGGGCGGGGGGGCGAGGGGGAGAGGTATGAGAGGAGGGGGCGGGAGGAGGGGCCGGAGGGGATGGAGAGGTTTGAAGGGGGCGGGGGAGGGGAGTTCATGGGGCCGGGGGGAGGCGGGGGGATGTTTGAGGAGAGGGGGCCGCCCATGGACGGACCCCCCCCGCCCATGCTCATGGCCGGCCCGGGCGGGCCTCTGGACGGGCCGCCCGTGTTTGACGTCTTTGACGGCCCGCCGCCCCCGCTGCCGCCCTTTGGGCCGCCCATGCCGCCGCACATGGGACAAGTCCCGCCGGGCGGCCCAGGAGGGCCGTTTGGTGGGCCGCTGCCACCCGTGCTCATCCCTGTGCCCGGTGCTGGGTGAGTGGCGTGGTTGGGGGCGGGGTGGAGGGCAAGGTGCATGTGTTGGTGAGGGCCGAGGGGGGGGGACGTGTGGAAGGGTCGGGGCAGATGTGGGTGGTCTGGAGGGGTGGTTGGCCCTAGCCAAGTGTGTTGGTCACTCGACTGGCAGCAGATTCATACTGCAGCATCGCCATCACCAACCTCTGCTTTCTTCTCACCTTCCCCTACTTCCCTGCCATCTCCTCCTTCCCCTCCCCCCCCCTTCCTTCTCTCTTTTCCCCCCATCCATCCCCTCTCCCCACCCCTCTCGCCTCTACCTGTCCCCCCAGCCCCCTAGGCCCGTTCCTGCCGGCCCCGCCAGACCTGGCGGCGCGCATACTGAGGGACCCCTCCTTCCGCCCACCGCCGTCACTCTTTGATGGCTTCGACGGCCCACCGCCCCTGCCGCTCTTCGACGGGCCGCCCCTGGACCTGCCCCCTGATGCGCCCCTCCCCCCCACCTCTGCGCCCGGCCCTGCTCCTGGCGGCGAGGAGGGGCGCTCCCCACCTCCCTCGTCAGGGGGCGGGGGAGGGGCACGCGGGGAGGCAGCACGGGGGAGAGCAGGGGCAGGAGGGAGGGACGGGGGAGGGGGGAGGGCAAGAGGGGGACGGGAGGGCCCGTATGGCAGTCCGGGGAGGTTTGGGGGGATGGGCATGGGGATGCGAGGCATGGGCATGGGCATGGGCGGGATGGGGATGGGCATGGGCATGGGGCCGATGGGAATGATGCCCATGATGGGCGGGCCGCCTCATGACCCCCGCGGCATGCGCAGGTATGGTGTTGTGCAGGTGTGGTGGCATGCGCAGGTGTGGTGGCATGCGCAGGTATGGTGGCATGCGCAGGTGTGGTGGCATGCGCAGGTATGGTGGCATGCGCAGGTATGGTGGCATGCGCAGGTGTGGTGGCATGCGCAGGTATGGTGGCATGCGCAGGTATGGTGGCATGCGCAGGTATGGTGGCATGCGCAGGTATGGTGGCATGCGCAGGTATGGTGGCATGCGCAGGTATGGTGGCATGCGCAGGTATGGTGGCATGCGCAGGTATGGTGGCATGCGCAGGTATGGTGGCATGCGAAGGTATGGTGGCATGCGCAGGTATGGTGGCATGCGCAGGTATGGTGGCATGCGCAGGTATGGAAGCATGTGTGCACGGAGGTATGGTGGCATGTGTGCATGGAGGTATGGTGGTGTGTGTGCACGGAGGTATGGTGGCATGTGTGCATGGAGCAATGGTGGTGTGTGTGCACGGAGGTATGGTGGCATGTGTGCATGGAGGTATGGTGGTGTGTGTGCATGGAGGTATGGTGGTGTGTGTGCATGGGTGATGACTCATGTGTGGCCGTCGTCTGCAGCTTGAACCATGCCATGCCAGTCACGCTGCTGCAAACAGTGCGTGTCCCTCTCTCTCTCCGCTCTGCCCCACCCTCCCCTGTGTGAGCAGCTATCGCGACTTGGATGCACCGGATGACGAGGTCACTGTCATCGATTACCGCAGCCTCTGACCCTCTGACCCTCTCATCCGCTCACTCGCTTGCTCGTCCGCTCAACCTCACTTGCCCTGCTGCGTGCTATCATCAGTGTTGCTCCGCCTCTCTTGCAATCTGTGGCGGAATTTAGGGCGCGCCCATGCCGTTCATCGGAAATGTGGGAGTCAGTCACTTCCATGCCGGTCTTCTAGTACATCCTTGAGAAGAGTTTTTCATAGATTTGGAGGTTTTAGTTGAAGGCAGTGGAAGTGTATGGATGGTGAGTAGAGTGGGGCTTTTCAGAGTGAACAATATGACATTAGTGTAACAAATACACAGTAGAAAGTGATAGATAGTGAATACCCTGTTTGTTTCCCTTCCCAACCAACCCTGTGTATATCGAGTTATATTAGAACAGGACTTCATGTAAATTTTCTTCCAGAACCGGGTTGACGAGACCAATGAACAAAGACATTATTCTGGGCGACCAGTCGCAGTTCACCTTCAGTACAGTAACGAACTTCTCAATATGATGGATGCTCGTCTGCACTAAGTAATCGCGAGGCAGGGCCAAATTCAGGTCAACTCTGTTCCAGCACATACGCGACTCGCCACGCCGGGTTGCGAAGCTCGGTGGACGGTATTGATGGTAACAACGCGGCTTCAGTCAAATGTCCGTCGCCAAGATTTTGCGATGTTCAAGTGCGCCGGCGCAACTCGGCTGCTTTCGTCACTCGGCACATCATTTTCTTGCACAATTATTGCGTAGGTCGTGTCCGTAGGGATGACATGTCAAAGTGGGCAGTGTCAACTTGGCATTTTGACACTCTGCCAACATTGTTGGCAGAGTGTCAAGAAATTGCAGGTTGCCAGCCAATACAAATCGTCGGACACTTTTGAAATTGGCAGAGACAAACCTACAAACGAGAGAAGATTGTCGCAGGTACCTATCTCACGACCAGATGTTGCCCAATCAGCACACAATATGTCTTTTGAATTGTTCGTTGCCTAGCAGATCTAGCCATGACAAATTCTCAAACCAATGAAATTGCGTCGCTGATGTTCGTACTTGCGCTTTGACTTGACACTTCCGCTACAATGCTTGACACTCTAATTTGAATGCGCTTCGGGTTGACACGCTCTCACTTAACATGTCAACCCTACGGACACGAACTACTCTGTTATGCTGCATTCACAGTTTGGGCATCGCGCTCGCTACTTTAGAAGGCGTTGGCCTTCTGCACGCCAGATTGTCCCGATTTGCTTCTGTTGAGGTGGTTTGCGGCTGCCACGCGGAGCGCCGAACGGCGGCTGCTACGCGGAGCGCCAAACGGTGCCGTCGCTGACCTAACAGGACTAATCTACAAGCTATGAACGGTGCGGAAGGGAGAAAGCTATGGCAACAAGGAGTTTGAGAAGAATCGGGGGAAGAAAGGAAAGGAAGAAAGGGAAATGTGTGGAAGACCTAGTTGCGATGTGCAGGAAGTGTCGAGATTGTTCGTGGCTGGATTTGGGCCAACCACAACGCACCGTAATCGGTTCGCTGGTTTCGGTGTGTGTTTCGGTTACCACGCGGTTTCGCGTGCGACGCGATATGAGATGCGGCAGACGCGTTGCACGAGCCGCACAGTGCTGAAATTGGTTGGATATATAATGCTTGTTCTGTTTTGCAATGTCATTACCAATTCCAGTGAAAACCCAACTGAAAATCCAGAGACTAAGTGCTGAAACCTGTCAACCTACACAGTGGCCAGACACTATCGCCAAGTAACAGCTGGTATCAGAGCCTCGTTATAGGAACATTTGGATTCGTAATTAGCACAATTAGTGCGCGGAACGACTTGGCGAATTTCGTCGACGAAAGGCGAGTTTCAAAGGCATGGGAAACGGCAGCGGTGAAGCGAGCTCTGGTTCCTCGGTGAACATAGACGGCTCCCAGCTGGAAACACTCTTGGAGGCCCTGGTGCAAGGGCAAACGGTGGCCAAGCCAACGATAGGCTTGAGCGAGGCACAACGCTTCAATGGAAGCGATTATGGCACGTGGAGATTGAAGTTCATCCGGCGTGCACGCGAGGTGGGGCTCTGGAGACTCTACCATCCGACGAAAGGGGAGGAAGACGCGCCTCCATCTGAAACGGCGTCTGCACAAGTCAAGGCAGCATACCGAAGAAAGAGTGAGCAAGCTTACTTTCAGTTGTGTCATTCGGTTTCGGATGCTATCGCTGTGGGCCTTGACCAATTCGCGGACGACCTGAATTCTGCCGAGAAGGCATGGAGCTATATGGATGCGGTGTACCTCGGGCGGAGTGACACGAACCTGACTGCGATAAAGAGGAAGCTACTGCTGCTCGGGATGGAACCAGCAGAGAGCGTCATCGATTACGTTAATCGTGCTAAAAGTTACAACGAGTGTCTAGCGGCTATGGGGGCAGCCGAACCGGAAAGCCATATGGTCAGCTACATCATCAACGGCCTACCTAAGGACTGGGTGGGAGAGAAAGGAGTACTCACCTGCAATCCACCGAAGGACATCACCCGCTTGCTTGAGATGCTGCAGTCGCTCGAGCAAATCCGCTACAACGGAGTGCAGAGGGAGACGCTCGTGGAATCTGCCGAGGAGAAACCGGCATTGCTGAACGCCTCTAAGGCAGCAAGGGGATTCGGCCCTGGCCCTTGCTTTCAGTGCGGGAAGAAAGGGCATAAGGCAGCAGAGTGTTACTCCAATCCACGCAGCCGCAACTTCAAGGGAAAAGTGAATAGCAGTGACGCAGCAAACAGGGAAGGAGTGAGACCACGAGGGTCGTTTCCTGGAAACTGCAATCACTGTGGCAAGTACGGACACAAGGCGTTCGAGTGCTTCACCAACCCAGCCAGCAAGAACTACAGGGGAGGACAGCAGCAAACAACAGCAACACCAAGGATAAATGCAGCTGAAGCGGGGAAAAGCGAAGGTGACGCGATCTTGGGAGGCGCCCACAAAGCGAACGTCGCGCGAGCTTCTGAAGTGTGTTTGTTGGCGAATGGGCTGAAAGAAACAAGTTGGTTTCTGGACAGCGGTTGCACGCAGCATATGACGCATCGTGCGGCCTGGCTACAGAACTTTCGACCTTCAAACATACCTTGCGTTTTGTTGGGCGATGAGGGACAGCTACCAGTCAAGGGAGAAGGGGACTTGGTGCTGCGAAGTCCGTACGGGGAGCTGAAACTGGACAACGTCCTCCTTGTGGAGAAGCTGACTTTGAACCTGATAAGCCAATCACAATTGGACAGCAGTGGGTGCAAGACATTTAGCGACAACGGCAAGCTGTGGGTGTTCGACTCCGATTGGAAGGTGGTTGCGGAAGGAGCACGCAAGGAAGGGTTGTATGAAATGTGTTTGAAGGAGTGCAACAAAGCAGCAGAGACAACCTTCCAAGCTGAACCAGAGGAAGGGAAGGTGGCACGGGAGGAGCTACGTGCCATGCTAAACAAGATACCGGTGGCGGTGCTACAGCAACAAACTCCACCACTAGCCGCAGCAGTGGAGGGAATCACTATGGAAACACTCCATAGGAGGATGGGACACGCGAGCGACCAGCGCATTAACGAGCTCTTGGATAAGAACATGGCAGTGGGAGTGAAAGTATCCAAGGGGGAAAAGGAGAAGCTGAAGTGTGGCGCGTGCGTGGAAGGAAAGTCTACGAGGACATCACACCCTAAGCATGGTACCCGGCAGCCATATGAGACGCTCGAGATTGTTGCGGCAGACATATGCGGACCTATGCGTGTGGCATCCCGGCACGGCAGCAAGTACTTCATAACGTTCACCAACCTTGGGACGAGGCATACATGGGTGACCGAGATCAAGGAGAAATCTGAAGCGCTCTCGAGCTTCATAGATTGGTTGGCGGAAGCAGAACGGCAAAGCGGAAAGGAGCTCAAGGTGCTACGAACGGACAATGGAGGGGAATTTCTCAATACGGACTTCAACTCCTACTTACGCGCTAAGGGCATTCGACGCCAACTTACCATACCCTACACCCCGCAACATAACAGCGTGGCGGAGCGAGTGAATCGATCGTTGTTGGAGAGCGTTCGAAGCATGCTATCGGATAGTGGGCTTCCCCTATCCTATTGGGGCGACGCTTTGGGGATGGTGTGCTGGCTGAAAAATCGCTTACCTACTACGGGACTTGCAGCGGACATCACGCCTCATGAAGCGTTTTACCATCGAAAGCCGAGCTTGGAGTTCCTGCGCGTGTGGGGCTGCATGACTCAATACCGTGAACCGGCTGGTCCCGGTCATAAACTCCTGCCACGGACCAAGTGGGGGGTTCATTTGGGCATATGTCCAGTGAGCAAAGGATGGGTGATTAAGAATGTGGACAGCGGCAAGGTGTCAGCAACCCGTGACGCCATTTTCTACGAAAATCTCAACTACCGAGAGTGGAAGGACGGGGCAAAGGCTCCTGCAGCAACTGACAAGTCTACTAACCCTCAACCAGTCCAAGAGCTGCTGGGAAGTGGGGCTGATGGGATAGGGACAGCAAGTGATGTGAGTGCAGCGGAGCTAGAGGACGACGACTCACCCGTGACTTGGGTGTGGGAGACTACCCCGACAACTGAGGGTGACACGGTAGCGGAACCTGAAGGGCAGCCGGGTGATGCAGCAACTAGTGGCCAGCAAAGTGACCAAGCAAGGAATGACCAGCAGCCGCCAGCTACTAATGAAGCGAGTGATCCATGGCGGCTGTTTGATGCGGACAGCAGTGACGAAGCAACGGGGGAGATTGATAGCTTGCTAGAAGAAGGTGCGATATTGATTGGGCGCGAGGAAGAGGAGCAGCAAGATGAGAGCCAAGGACCTACCGAAGCCGAAGCAGAGTCACCTGCACCAGCCGCACAAGAAGAAGAATTGGGCAGAGGCATGCGGATTAAGCGACCCAACCCAAGATACGCAATGATCCTCATGACGTGTTGGCGCGACGTGCACACCCATCTGCTACTTACCACAACCGCAACGGCACTAATTTCCAAGGAGCAGCGTACAACCTACG